GTGTGTGTGTGTGTGTGTGTGTGTGTGTGTGTTTGTGTGTGCAGTATTTATAGTATGCTTTTAGGACTGCCTTTGATTTTTGTTGATTTAAAAAAGTTCCTGGGAACTTTTGTATGTAGCCTATAACATGCATATGCATTTTTTCTTACTATAATTATGCAATATAGGGGTGATTTGAGTCTGTGGGGAAGTTGAGCCACCCCTTGTTTCTAGGCAACCTTAAACAAATTTGGTGATGTGACTACAAATATATGAAGAGTTTTCCATTTTACTCGCGCTGTGATGGAGAGAGGCCTGTGGAATAATTGGTAACTACTATTTTTGTATGTTGTATGTTGCTTGAGTCTGAACAATTACAGACAAATCTGAAACAAAATATCACACGTGTTTGTGCTTTAGGAGGTATTAATATGAGGCTGTACTGTCAGTGTGATGTTAGCTCTAAACTGCTGGATGATACACGTTTGTTAAAATGGTAGTGGGGTAAGTTGAGCCAAAAGCCCTGATGATAAAGTATTATTTTACTGTAATTCTACATGATATTTCCTTAATTTTAGACCAAACATTTTTGATTTTGTTCTGAAAATGTTAACATTTTAAATTGGCCTTGTTTATGAAATTTGGCCATTGAGGCTTTTATGAAATTGTATTTCCCTGCAACATTTATTAGCGGGATGTTGAGTTCTGTTAGCCCAGTTCTGTAAGGTCAATTTCAGTGTTTTTTTTTTTTTAATTCTCCAATTTGAACTTTATTTTGTGCCGAATTTTTTAAATAATTTTAAAAATCCCTTCAAAGTTGTGAACTGTATCTTTAAATTAAACTTTTAAGAACTCATCCATCCATCCATTCTATTATCCACAGCTGGTTGTCTTTATTAGGGTTGCGGGGAGCTGGATTGTAACCCAGCGTCTTGAGCCACCGGCGGGGAAACTCTCTGGATGAACGGTCAGTCCATCACAAGCCTCACACGCAGATTATAAGAAGTAATTTTTATTGAATTTCTCTTCCTTTGATATAGCATGAGATGAAAATGTTCAGTTTTACTTTTCACAGAATAATCAATGGCACAGTTCAACTACATGTAGCTCAACTCCTTACCATAATATTGTAATACTAATAAAACAATTACTGCAATATTGCTATAATACAAAAATCCTTACTGTAATAATAATAATAAATGTTCTCCTTACTGTAATAATACTATTGTACTGCCTTTGATCTTTGTTTAAAAAAATGTTGAGAACTCAAAAGTGCGAGTTTTGTGGGAAAATGTAGTTTATTAATGCAAGTATTGTATATTTATGCCGCATGTTTTTCACACACTATATGAGTATTAAGCGCAACAGAGACTCTATTCCTTTATATTATCTTACAGCGCCATCTAGTGCTCATCTACTGGCATTACCAGAGTGGCCATTCATTCACGCATGACCACTAACACTCAAATACAGTTTATCCTTCACAGATCACACATCTAAAATGATGCATTCTATAATTAAACTTTATTTAGATAAAGTAAAAAACAAACAAACAAAGCATGTTTTAAGGCAAAGGTAGATGTGTGTTTGATAGTGAACTAACAGCCAGTGCTGGTCACTTCACAGCATCTAAAGATCAAACACACACATCAGAGTCCTCCTCCTCCACCAGAGAAGATGAGCTCGAGAGCGGCCTGCAGATCTCCGTTTGTGGCTGTTAGCGCTCGCAGAGCCACCTCCTCATCCTGGATGCCCATATCCCTCAACTGCTGCATCTGCGTCTGCCAGCGGCCCTGCAGACACATACAGACACACACACACACACACACACACATACACACAGACAGACACAGACACACACAGACGGACAGACAGACACACACACACACAGACAGACGCACACAAACAAACACGCAGACACACACGCACACACACACAGACACAGACACATACAGACACACACACACAGACAGACGCACATAGACACACATACAGACACGCACACAGACAGACGCACATAGACACACATACAGACACGCACACAGACAGACGCACATAGACACACATACAGACACGCACACAGACAGACGCACATAGACACACATACAGACACGCACACAGACAGACGCACATAGACACACATACAGACACGCACACAGACAGACGCACATAGACACACATACAGACACGCACACAGACAGACGCACATAGACACACATACAGACACGCACACAGACAGACGCACATAGACACACATACAGACACGCACACAGACAGACGCACATAGACACACATACAGACACGCACACAGACAGACGCACATAGACACACATACAGACACGCACACAGACAGACGCACATAGACACACATACAGACACGCACACAGACACACGCACACACAGACACAGACAAGCACACACGCAGACACAGACAGATGAACACACACACACACACACACACACACACAGACACAGACGCACGCAGACACACACGCAGACAGACATAATATGCAGCAACATTCATGTTAATAGCACTTAAAGAATAGCTAATCCATTTCTTCTGTCATGATTTACTCACCTTCATGTTGTTCCAAACCTGAATGAGTTTCTCCAGTGGAACATGAAGATATTTTGAAGAATGTTGGGAACCAAACAGCTGATGGACCCCATTGACTTCAACAGTATGTATGTGTGTAAAAAAATTTCATGGAAGTCAATGGAGACCAGCAACTGTTTGGTTCCCAACATTCTTCAAAATATCACAGAAGACCGTTCAGCAGAAGAGAGAAACTCATACAGGAGAGCAAACGATGACAGAAAGTTTTGGGTGAACCATCGCTTTAAGTCTTATTTTCTAAAGCGTTTATCGAGCACAAAACTGTTATATCCACGAAAGACCATGTGATAGTTCTGAAAACACATGGAAATTGTTCATATGCAGAAATTATGCAAAATTTGAATTGTGCTTGTATACCATGCATATATTTCTTCATACTAACTAAAATGCAATAATAATAAAAATAATTTCTCCTTACTACATTACTAAAATAATAATAATAAAAAGCCTAACTATAATATTAATTAATATTATTAATATAATAATATTCATAATCATATTAGGGTTTCTGCAGGTTTTATGAAGGTTAATTTAAGACGTTTTAAGAGCGAGTAAAATAAATAAATAGAATGGAACACGATACATCGATGTGCTCTCTACATGTAAATGTCTTGTGTTATCAACGCTTCAAAGTTTTGAAGCTTAAGTCTTGAATATCTCTGCTCCAAACACTAGAATACTGAAATAACTGCTGCGGATTATTCTGGTTAAACTGCAGAAAAGTGCTGCTCTTCCTCAGTGTTTCTCTTGTTTTCCAGTGCAAATGTCTAACGGCTCATAAATCAAGACGCATTTACTGGAGATGCAAAATGAAATAAAATAAGAAGTCTAGTTTAATGAGAAATTGGTCAAAATTGAGCTGATAATTAATGTTATAATTAAAACAAGCAAATATCTGCCGATGGATTTAGAAAATGAAATTAATTCAAAGAGAAAGCAAGTTTGACATACATTGACATACATTTGTACTCGTTTTAAACAAACTCATTTTGTTCAGTTTCTCTGAAAACAAGACTCTTGATTTAAGGATGTTCAGATATTTGCAATGGAACATTTAATACCATAACTTTATGAATTTAAGGCTTGCTGATCTGATGCCTTAATGTGTGTTTTAAGACCTGCAGAAGCCGTTTATGCAGTGAATATGTGTGTGTGTGTGTGTGTGTGTGAGTTGTGGTCGTGTGTGTGTGTGTGAGAGAGAGTGTGTGTGAGTGTGTTGTGGTCGTGTGT